TATTTTATGAATTTATGTCAATAACTTTGGTATCAAATTGTAGATTATAATTCAAATTTTAGTAATATACAATAGTTAATTTCTTAATTTAGAAGTAAATATTAAAAACACAGCCAAACATCAAATTTTGTGTGTCACATGCTATGTTGAATGCAGCACTGGTTCTTTAATTTAGATTTACTTTGTTTTTTCTGTAGTGGTTACAAGGTCAATTTAATTAACTGAATCTGTATAGATTTAGGGTAGAGAAAATAATAGATGAAATGTAAACTTTTACTGAAAAAAACATTTGATTTTTATTTGGGAGGTTGTAGAGTTATGCAAATGATATTTGTAAACTGTAAGTTCAAGAATAGTATTTTAAATCTTAACAATAAAAATCACTTTGCACCCAGACTGCTCAACACTCTGACTATATATATTGACAGAAAAATCTTTAGTAAGAATATTTAATTAAAAAATCTTATTTTTGTGTACAAAAGACTTGTAATGTTTACTAAAAGCTAGCCAAATTTTGTGAAGATATATCAAGTACTTTCAGAGTTACATATACTTTCATGGTTACAAGGTTGTGTAAAATACATGAACCCATGTGCATAGGATTAAACTGAATGAGACAAAGTTAAGGATCATGTTATTTTATGTGAATACTCTGTGAAATCCAAGATTAATTTTGGACTTCACTAACAAATCTTAAAATGTGAGCTAATGGTATACTGTAAATATGTTCACCCTTAACGTGAAGAAACACAACTAAACATACGAATATCAACAAACACGACAACAAAACTTTAAATCTTGTTCAGTTAAGATGAGTGAGAACAATAACTTTAAATGAGAGGTATACTCATGAATCACTTGGATTCTTAACAATCAAAAAATATAAAGAAAATACAGCAGAAACTGGACGTTTCTGCTGTATTCTTACTGAAACACAACTGCTAAAATAATGGAAAACTTATGGGAAGTGAAAACTATTATTCTTGTATTAAGACTCTTAAATGCTATGAAAGTTTATGTAAAATCTGTTCTTCTAAACCCAACACTGTCTTTAATATGTCAATAAACCCTCAAAAAAGTTTCTAATACAAGAAAACAGTGATTGGTTATTGTTATATCAATGGGCCAATAGACAGTGAAGATCAAGAGCAGTTCCATTTACAACTATTACCTGATTTGCTGGCAAGAATAACTGCTAGCTAATTAAAAGAACATTACTATCCTTGTAAGAGAATCAGACAAGTAGGCTTTTAATGCTTACTTAACTTAGTTCGCCATTTAAGGAAAGTGAAAGTTAGTAACTCACTTGAGCTCTCTCTCTGTGTCCAATCAGGGAACTATGAAAAAAACAACATAGTTTTGAAAATTTTACTTTTTAGCTAAAGAATGGAAAATATTATAGCATGTCCTCATACTCACTATCATGTTATATTGTACTACCATATCAGTAGGCCCTAATTCCATACTAATATTTCTAGTGCTTTTTGAAATGATCTTCCTTCTAAATTGCCAGCAGTAGGAACTGTGCATACATGTAAAAGAGTTGTTGTGTAAACAATATAACTAGTTGATATACTCCATGTAATGACATTGTAGTGTAAATATTATGTAAAAGTACAGGTTTCAGATAGCATTTCAAGTTGTATTCATTTAGAAGCATTTAACTATTTTATTCCAAAAAAAAAACTTAAAGTTTTTGACTTTTAGATACAATCTAAACAGTAAATGAGGTAAGTTAAATTTGATTTTTTGTAAGTGCCAGTTGAAGGAAATTTTATGTTCATTTTCAACTGAGTTAAATAATAAAAAAAACAATCATTAATACATTTGTAGGTTTCTTATGTTTTTTGAATATTGACAAGTTTTATACACATGAGCAAGAAGTTGAAAGTAGTTTTGTACTAAACTAAAAATTATTTTTGGAGAGCAAAAAATCACATTTAGGGTTACTAGTTGTTATATTTTAGAAGTTTCTTCTAAAATTGAATTACAATAAAACTTGTGTACCTGAGGATGACATAATCTTGTTGAAACATCATACATTTGTAATAAAGTTTTCTTTATTGCCCAGTCAAGCCATTTCCAAACTTGTATTTTCTATAAAGTGGGTTCCTTGTCATCAAATATGACAACTCATGTTATCATGTAATATATACACACACAAGGTACTGTCTAGAAAGGGAATAATATTATATTATATCAGAATTTTAGTTGTATAAAGTTTTAATGAAATATTTCATAGTTATTCTGAATATACAGATAGTAGTAAAGCTGTAGATTTTCAGGAAAGTTCATAAAAATAGGTGATTAGAAGTTAAGATTAAAATAATACTTTTCAGCATACAGCACTTTTAGATTAATCTTTAATATTAGCTTAACAATGGTTCCCATTTTGAGATATTAATATATTTTAATGTCAAAATAGTTGTAGTAAACTTCTGAAAAACAAACTAACAGATTGTGTTTTAAAATTAAGACAAATATTTTAGTTTTGTAAAGCATATAGGAATCGTAGAAATTATTTTGGACATTGCCTAGAAAATATTTAAATTTTCAGATCTCCTAATATACATAAGAATGGTAAACCATGTATTTTTATATGTTTGCTGATACATGTCTGGAAGTATCTTTTGTATGCCATAGTCAAGAATGTCTATAAAATGGAGATGTTATATTCATGATTTTGTTGCATATTATATTTATTCTCAATAAAAATATTAGTAAATTGCAATTCTGATATTCCACTTTCCTTTGAAGAGCATTTTTAGGTATGGGCCTTTGTTGGGTGTTACTGTCTGTCTCTCCACAAATTCTTCACATGATGTCAGACTTTGAGATTAATTTTACATGGATGAACCCTCAGTAAGAACTCTATTTTGTTTGTTACACCAGAAAATCATAATAATTTAAAGTATATATATATATATATAAAACAACAACAACAAGAGTACCTAATACTCAATTATGTTTGTGCATTTTTCTAAATATTTTCCTTCAGGGTTATTTTATTCCATATTTCATGATGTATTAACAAATGGTTACAATAATGTTGGCAGAGGTTATTTGTAAACTTACATTATAGAAGATGAATTTATATGTAGAAAAGTTTAACTTTGTGTCATTCACAATCATAAATACAAAATGTTTACCTTGAAATAACTTAATATAGGGACTAAAATTTAAACAGGCTAATGTTTTAAACTAATTTTATTGATATTGCACTTAATTTAACTTTGAATAAATTAACATTGTAATGGAATTACTGCAAAGAGTTTGTAATTAAATTTTTTAATTTTGTTTATAAACTGGTATGTGATATTTATAATTTCATCATCTAATTATCAAAAAAACATTTCAATTTTATGTTAAAGAATTGTTTTATTATTTGCTTATCTTCAGCATGCAATTATTAAGGCAAATGTTTTTTTGTTTTTTGTAGTTATAATTTTCTACGAATCTTATTAATTGTGCTGATGCTGGTTACTCTGCTGTGGAATGATATTGTTTGTGTTGCTATAGCGACAAGCTATTCTGTCCATTGTCAGCTAATAATTTCTTACTTAGAAAATATTAGTTATGCTGTTCGAGAAAAGACTCTCAGCTTCCAGGAATTTTACAAGGTAGATAATATCTAAATAACAAATATGATGGAAATCTCTAAAAATCTAGTTGAACATTTTTTTCAGATGAACAGGCTTAATCTTTATTGAGTTAAGCTTTAGAAAATCAAGAATTATAACTTATTTCAAACTTATTTAGTTCTTTGTATAATGAAAACAACTTGTATATATATTTTTGAAAACAAACAAGATATTTACTGTTACAATAATTGGAAACTTAATGTGAAAATTTCTATCTCTATCATGTTATGAATTGTAATTTTTAAATTGTGACTTTTGTTTATATTATAAGTACTTCATAAAAAGATGTCTTTGTGACATATGCTCAGATAGGATCAACAAGTGTTTCAAATTTGATTTACTCCTGAAACTTTTAAATATCTGTATGAAAATTTAGATATCCATATAGGCATATGGAACTGTATGTATGTTTTGAATATTTTTTAACTTAATGTTTACAAATACCAAACTGTTGTTGAAGTGGTACTTAATTGTTTAACAAGAAGTGATTATTATATATATATATATATATATATATAAATTTATTATACATTATCATAACTTAAATTAGTAAACACTTGATAGTTTATTAGTTGGCATATCTAATTACAGTTTATGTAGTAGTATATAACTCTTCTGTTTCTTAGTATTTCTTTCATAAGTTATTCCTGTCAAAACTATACAGTCTTTTAACAGTCAAATAAGTATGCTTCTTTCTTCTTTTAAAACAACAAGAATCTGAAATGAGAGTTATGTTTTATTAAGTGAGATCACTTTAACTACAAGAAAGCCAGTGGCGCATATTCCATAAAGGCTAAACAGCATGTGCCTTCACATAAACTTGTCAAAAGGAAAAAAAACTTGACTGAATAAAATTTTGACAGCCAATTACAATAAAGAATATTAACATAATTGTCAGAATTTAAAAATCTGATCTTTGCCAATTGTCAAAAAAGGCTTTTAGTTATATTTTTTAATAGTATAAATATATACTATGTAGTTGTTGGGATTTCGATTCTTCTACAGTAGGTGTCTGTGACTTGTTAGCAATAAATGCAACAATGAATAAACAGCACACACTTCACTTGTTTTCAGAATAATATATATATTCAGAACAAGTTAATATATGTACAATAAATTCTTCAACACTATGGATATTATGGATATATCATAAATACTATATATGTAGTTCTCTCGTTCTTGTCAAATATCAACTTAGGCCTATTCAGTTACTTTAGAATTTCAGTTGACAAGCTGAACTATCTTCTCTATTTCTATCACAATAGTGTTCTCTGTGATTCACTTACAATTGTGGCACGAGTTACCATAATTGTTTAGTCTTCTTTCTTTTGAAGATCCTCTGTTCCTTTTGTCAAAGTGCTCTCAGGCTGATTCAGTTACTTTAGAACCACACTTTGATGGAATAAAATTATTTTTCTTATCTTTTTTTCTACTGTTAGTTTCACTCTAACATATTAAACGTTAGGCCAATGTCAGTTGTTAGTCCTATCACGTCTACGGTAGTTAACTTTACACCAACTTTATTCTCTTTTGCTATTATCTGTCTGCTGCTTCCTGCTCATCTCACGCTATTTATATCTCTATTACATAATTGTCTGTCCACTTTCTATATTCTTGACGTCAATATATTGCACATGACATTTGATATTCTCAACATCAAAGAATTACTAACAAAACTTCCTACAATCATTTGCTTTTACCTCCTATTATAACAAAACTATACAATAATAAAACATTCACTCACAAAACTAAATTAATCAATACTATCTGAACGAAACAGTCTTTTATATCATGACAATAATCATTTAATGTATTATTACTGTGAACTTGTGCTTCAGGAATTATTTTGATTGTTGATTAGTTTTGGGAGTTGAGAGAGTTGTAGCATGCTGATTTGTTTAAAAATTAGAAGAGAAAGATAAAAAAAGCCCCAGTTCTCAATTAGCATAGCATTTTGTGTAGCCAGTCATTATTCTGTGTGTTGTAAGACAAATAGTTTTCTCTGGATTTGTCTATCAGTCTGTTTGCAACACTGCCTACAGATTTTTCAGCAGGAGGTGTATTTCTTTAGAATTTTGTATTCAAGTTTGTGTGCAAGATAGTAATTCAAATTGTCACCAAATGTTTCAAAAATACAAAAACATCAATTTTTGTGGGGAAACATTTATCCTTGTACCTCTACTAGGGGCCCGTGGTCCTCCAGATCCCCCCTGCCCAATTGCCTGAAAGCTCAGTGGCATCTTCACCATTATTATACTGAAGTTGTGTTTCAGAGTTAGTTTTATTTTCCTTTCTTAATTTGTAAGTGGATGAAATGTTTTAAAATTAACACCACTATTCTTCAAAGAGCCTAATGAGGCAATTGTTTCAAGTGTACTTTAGCATTTATTCTAGAAAGTGAAATTTATTCTATCTATAAGGAAAAAATAATAATACAGTATAATATGGCATAAAAACAGTATTATTGTAACATTTTATGATTCCATAAATAACTAAAAATACAAATATTATATGTATAAAGAACTGTATATTCTAAGTTCAAAATAAAAATGTGACTGTGTTAGCAGGCTTGCCTAGAAGAAACAAATGAAAAAAATAGTGGACTGTTGGTCAATGTGGCCTTATCAAGTGCAAGGCCCCAAGAAGCAGAGTAATCACAGCACACATATTAAAAGTGTTTAAGGTACACTTTATCCAGCCTCTACCAAAGAAAAAATTAAGGCTCAGCTTAGATGCCTAACTGTTATTTTAACTTTTTCGAAACGAGTCACGGGTGAAATGCCTTGTCATCTCGTTTGTTGACTCGCATTCAAAATTTGATCGAACTACTACTTCGTGAATTTATGTCAGTAACCTTTTGGAATATCGCGAGTCTCAAGCAGTTATTTGTCTCACTTGTGTTAAAGACTAGTTTTTATTTCCTTAAAAATGTTGCTGGCTTTTCATTTCCAGCAGTGGAACTTAACATGCACATCACCTAACAGTTCACTAAATACAATGAAGCTAATAAATTATAACAGCAAAAACAACTAATATAATACTGGCATATGGATTTTTGTTTTTTTACTAAATGATTTTAGTTGCATCCATGTTAAAAGTTCAGTTGTTACTGGATTAACTATCCCTAACTAAAATGTTAGCATGTGATTTTATTTTGTCACTTCACTGCGAGTCATATTGAGTTGAAGCTTATAATATAGTTAATACAGATATTGTTTAAAACATTACTTATCGCACAAATCAATAGTTATATACTCTTTTTTTCATGAAATGCTTTTTATAAAGTTCTATATTCAAGTGATGCATGACTTTTAGTACTGTTTATTGATAACTGTTGTTTAGTCTGAATTGTTTTCATCTTTTATATCTCCATTCATTAGGAAATCATGGAAGCAAGAAAATTTATCAATTACTTAAATGAAGACCAAGCAGTTGGTGTTTCTCTTTTAATATTAAACTATGGTTGTCAAACCACCACAGGTAATTTAATTTCATACTAAGTTCTGGCATTTTCCTCTGTGTCCTAACAAACAAATATGTAGAATATGGTTGTCAAACCATCACAGTTAACTTTCATGTTACACTGAGACTGGGTGTGATATAGTGGTTAACATGCTGGACTGTGAATCTGAGGGCCCATGGTTTGCATTCCCTTTCCACAAAATTGCACTACACTTTGTGGCCATGAGTCCTTTATCCGAACAATGGTTAAATTACACTATGTAACTCTGATTACCTATGTGAATTTATCTTTATGTTTAGAACTGACAAATGTGTGAACTACATTTTGCAAACCTCTCAAGGTAACTCATGTCAAATAAAATATTCATATCTGTCTGTGTTAAAACTAATAAAAGTGTGAACTTTGAATCTGCCATTTTTCCTAAACTGTTTTAAGTATTGTTGTTGGAGTTTGCCATTTGATATTTCTTCTCCATGGAACATATGTGTATAAAAATATATATCTTGTGTGTGTTTTGTGTACAAACAAGTTCTGTTTGAAATATAAGTCAATACATATATGAATCTACAAATAACATATATGTTGTTACTTGAATGTATGTGTGGTGCCTAATGAATATATTTAATTATATATCGATTCCATAACTTGTAGGAAGTGATTATATTTTATAGAAAGGATACCAAAATACAGCTCAAGACTATACTTAAAATCAACATTTATATCGGGGCAACTTTATGATGAAAAAGTGTATATTCTTTGCCACAAAAGTATACAATAAAAAGAACACTGATTTTAAATAGTTTTAGATTATTAAATTTAAGCTTTTATGGAACCAAAAATACAAATGCACATTTATATTAAGGTAGGTTTATGTTGTTTCATAGAGATGTGTCAGGCTTAGATAGTGCTAGTGTCAGGAGTAAATCTTAGTATCATATGGAATTTTGTAATTCTTAGTGTAAGCACACTGTACTAACTCCTGAATTCAAGTACAAAAACTGGTAATTAGATAAATAATCAAGAACAAAAGTATATTCAGTTTTGTAGGTGAGTGGTGACAATAAAATATTGTAGAAAGTATTTGGACAAGAGATTTTGATCTAGGTAATTTTAATGATGGGAATGAACATGAAGAAACATATATTGTAGAATGGAGGAATAGAAAGAAATCATAAAAGTCCTGTTGCCCTGTATGTGAATGATGATTCTTGAATAATTAAAATTTCAGGTGTTGTCCAATGTAAAGCCTAATCCCCATATCATTATAACTTACAAAATTACAGTGGAATTTTAAGTCTAATGGCATGCATTTTTAAATGTAATTAATGTGTATGAATGAAATATATTGCTACAATACCAGGTTGGTGAAAGGCAGAGTAGGAAAGAACTGTACTAATTGATGTTTCCTTTTTTTATATCCGCACACACAGAGGTGTTACAGTGTTATTGGAGTACTGAAAACAATGAGCGTTACAAGTTTTTGTATTTTCAATTAGATTTGACAAAATATTCTTTATATTAGAAACTTTAACTTGGCTTTGATAAATTTTTGAACTAAAGTTTACAGTTCATTGATGAAACATCCTCTAATTTTTATTTTATTAGTTAAAACTTGATGATAGTATGGTGTATTTACCAACCAAAAGTTTGTACCAGAAGAATATATGTGCCACATAGTCTCACCACAAGTTTCATTTATTTAATATATTTATCATATAAGAATATTATATAACTGACATATATGTTTGTTACAAGTCAAGTACACTATCCATGTAACAACATATGAGAGTCTTGTATATGTACGAGTTCAATGTAAATACACTATAAACCAGGTAGAATTTTGGCCTCAATAAAAAAGCAAAAATTTCATCCCACTCTGGAAACAGGCAGGAGCTGGCAATTAAAGTCAAAACTCTATCATTTTATATTGTCTAAAATACCTTTGAAATAACACTCTTTTAAACCACTTGTATGTTGCATATATAAAATAGGCCAATTTTATAAATGTAGCATACATCTTTTTTTTTACTTTCTTCCTCATAAATAAAATGAAACATATTATTGTCTTTTCAGCTATTTATGGATTTGTGAGTGATACCAGTAATTCTACTAGAGATGTTTTTATCTTCATATCGGTTCTTAGTTCTGTTGTATTGTGGATAATTTTGTTGGCCTTTCCAGTTATACAGGTGTGTTCACTTGGTACATTATAATATTTCTGTATTGATCTTGTAATGTCATTATTACTTTGTCAACTTTCAAGACACATGTTTTATTAAAGTTTAATGTATTTATGTTTTACAACTTTGCCAATGGAATATATATATTTTTAATATTTTGATTACACAAGCTTAAGTAAGAGAGAGAATTTTTCTTGAACTTATGGACAGCAGTACTTCGACTAATAGTGTAGAATTTTCAGAAATCTATTGTAAGAGTGTTAAAATGTTTGTTTAGGAAAATGAGAATAAAGTAAGTATTAGTGATATATGATGAAATAATTATTTGGGTCCAATGTTCAAATACATTTAAAAACAAAATTAGAACATACAATGCAGACTTTTTATTATGTTGTATATGAAGTTAGTACACAGAAATAATTTAAAAAAAGTTCCAATTTACTTCATGTTAAGTATTGTTAAAAACCTAGTTCATGTGTTATGATTGTTGAGAGAAATAGTGAAGAACCACACTGGCTTATTATTACAAGAACTAAGACTAGGCACAGACAATTAGAATTTTGTTTACTCCTGGGTTCTTTTTAAGATTAAGGATTATGATGATAATGTCCCAACTTTACATAACATTTGTGCATCTGATTAGAGATTAGAAAGCAAAGTTTTGTTAAATTGGCTGTCAATTTTGAATAAGTAATGTATATAGTGAGAATGCAAAGAAATTTGTTTAGTGCTCATTTAATTTTTTTTATAATTCTTAAGATAAAACTATATTACATGTTTATAGTAATATAAAAATATAATCTAAATATATGGGATAACCTTTCTTTTTAACAGTATTTGATTTGATAAACTGTTTTATTAGAATACCACATATGAAAAATGTACAAAGAGAAAACTTGCATTACAAAATTACTAAATAGTTATGATTATTTTAAGACCATTTACCTTTTAGTGAAGAACAGTTGATGTGATTGGATTCTGTGTTAAGTTTATCCAAGTTACTTAAAACTCAGAATATTCTTATATAAAACTAAAATTAAACTGTATCAAAACAGAAACAGTAAAGTTGTAACTCGAACTTGATTCAGTTAATCTTTATAAGTTAAGTAGTAAGTAGCTTGTCTAATTATGAAAAGAATTAAAAGCTTTGATTATCTTCTCCATTTTGGATGAAATTATATAAAAAACTTCTTGCAGACATTTTAGGCATGGTAAAAGTACCTCATTATTGTAAAACAAGGCTGTTCAAAATGGAGAGTAAAAAACTTTGTGAAATTTCTAAACCTGCTGGCATGTGTTATAATTAATGCTTACTTACATTTGTATGATGCTTTCATTCTACAAAAAAAAAAAAATCTTTAGCTAACATTTATTTCAATTAGTTATAGTTAGCTTAGCCAAAAATTACGTGTTTGTTTCAGGCAGCTCGTTTAACAAGCTCATGCCGAGCACTTAGAAAACTTGGGCATGAACTTCGGGCTCGTCCATTTGGATATCAGGACACAAGTCAAGATGATTTGGATTCTGTTCTACTTTACACTACTTCTTTAAAAATGCAGGTAAGGATACTTTCAGTTGAAAATATTGATATGACTTATAGAGACCTTTTAAATGTTCAGTGAAAAATTATGACAAAAGAATTCATTAATAAAGCAAAATTTCTTTTAAAATGCAGCACTTTGTCTGCTATATTATATGGTGTTTATATAAGAAAGTGACATTTAGAAACTTAGTTTTTTAAAAGGCATAAAAGTGTTTTAAAATAATGTCTTCATTGACTAGATGGATTTAAAGTTGAAGTTCTTTTTTTACACATGATTTGCTAGTGCCTAGTTTATACTTCATTAGTAAACATATTTATAAACTTTGCATCAAAAATGGTCAGAAATGTTATGAGTAGTACTCTAAAGTGTAAAACGTAGTATTTTTTAGTAAGGATAAAATTGTACTGCTAAGCCTGATACATCAATTTTATGGCTGAGATTAATAAGAGCACTTGTATAGAAGTGAACTTTTCCTACTTCAAATTTGTGTTGTTGTTTTATTGCATGATTTTTTTAATATTGCTATGAAAATAAGTGTTTTCATACCTATTTAAAACATGAAGTTAGAGCAAGAATTAAGTTAAAAATGCTTACATTTCATTTTTCCATAATTTTTTATTACATTCAGTCTTATTATTGAAGAATTGATTACTTAAAGCATAATCGAAGAGGCTTATTGGTGTGTGGAAGCAATACAAGTGAATCAAATAAGACTACTGATATGGTATCTACATGAAATTAACTGAAAAGTTAAAAAAAATAATTTAGACTACAAAAAGAAATAATACAAGAATGCCTAAAAGTAAAAGCAAGGACAAAAATGGTTTTAAGTTGCTGAGAAGCTTAGTCTCCTTCATATTGGTGAAGAGAAAATAATGACAGCCTGGTTTGTTTATTCAGTGTATATTTTTTATACATCAACATAGCATGTGCCTTTATTTTATGTTTCACTATGATATTATTTGATTAAAGCTACAAGTGTTATTATATTAGTAATAATACCTGTTTTTGAGATGTTTTCTGAATGTTTTTTTATTCTATTTTACAGGCAAAACTTTTTCGAACACCTGTCCGTGGAGCATATCTAATTTTAGGGCTGACAGTTTTGTCTTTTATCCTTCTGTTGTTAGCCCAATTAAATGACATTCACCTGGGTTAAGCTTATGAAACCTAAATCAGTACAAAATCCAGTATCAAGTTGAAACAATGGTGACACAAGTAATAAAAAAATATGGTGTGTTTTGAGAAAACTTGTGTTCACATTTTTAAATGTCAGGAAATATGTCTCAAGTAAAGTAGAAAAGTGCCAGAATATTTTCAATGAATTTAAAAAAACCTTGATCTTAAGAAGTATATTTACAACAATGTGCATTTATATTCTTATTTGTAAATGTAAGGAAATCTCAAAAAGTGGTTAATTGCAGTGTAACTTATGGAGATTGTCTTGCTGTAAACAAAGGGCATAAAAAGAAAATTTTATCTCAAGGATATTTAGAGAACCAACATTTTTTAAAGATTTTTTATTGTTTTTATATGTCAGTAAGTTTTGAAATACTATTTTTAAATTGTTATTAAAGTGCAAATGTTAAATTACCAACTGTAGTTAAACTGTTTCGTGATGGTAAACCAGAAATATCGGAGGATAATTGTTTGATATTTGTGTTAGTTAATAAAATGTGCCTTCATTATCCTACCTTCATATTTTTGAAAAATATTATGATAGATCATATCTATAAAAGGAAACATTTGCTGTTTTAATTTTTGGAACAAATGTCAAGTACCATCTCAGATACCTAAAGATGAGGTATTGTTAGAATTACAATCCGTTTCAGATGATCACTTTTACTGGACTAAAACATTCCTGAAGATGTACAAAAAAACTTTAGGTAAAAAATGTGTAAAAATAGAAAAAAATGCCCTTGATAAGTAGTTGATTCAGCCCTTTTTTAAATTTGAATTTGTAGGAACCAATGTTGTTGTATTTACGCTTTAATTATATAATTCCTTCCTTCTCGGTGTATATAAATGTTTAATGTAACTCCACTCAATCTTGTATGTGTTATTAATGCCACTTCCAATGTTGCAAAAGAAACTTTATTGTTTATGCTGGAAATATACACATTTATTGTTCGAATCTTAAAAAAAAGTATTTATTAGTGAAAATCAAAAACAGTTCATGCTTGTAATCAAAGTTTTATATAATGCACTCATGGTTCAACTGTTTACTTGTCAGAAATTAAAATTTACCATATGCAGTTTGTGTATTTGTTTTAAGACACAAAGATTCTACAATTGTTTTCAAGCAATATCATAATCAGGGCATAAATGCAGAACACAATAACTATTTTTGTAAAACAGTGTATTTATAAAAAGTAAACGTACAGGTTTATTGATAGCCCTACTAATAAAATTTTGTTGATGGTTGAAGTAAGGTATTTCTTGTGACTTGTTAATAAATTATTAATTGTGCTTTTTGTAATTTAAAGCTAGAGTATTTTGTTTGCCAATATTGGGGGCCAAGAAAAAAATATATATACACAAGTTTTGTGAATTATCTTTATTTTGTTATTTTTGTTTACTAGTCTAATTTTCAAATATTGCAAGTTTTACTGAAAGTTGAAAATAAATGCGTTTTGATTTTCAAAAACATGAAGTATTATTTGTTTCTTATAAATACCCCTGCATTTGTAATTTCCATAATATTTAGAAATATACATTATCCTACCAAAAGTCATGGTACACACCACTGATTGCAGAAAAAATGGGTGTGATGATGAAATATGCAAATAGTTTGGCTTATAAAGGTGATCAGTAGTTACTTCGACTTTGTATGCCAAACAACGAGTATACGGAAAGAGCTAACAGCTTCAGAGGGAAAATGTCTGTATGTGCTATTGCACAACAATTAAACATTTCCAGGTCGACAGTTGGCAAAGTGCTGAAGAAATGGAAGTCCACAGGTGACAATGAGCCCAAGAAATGGCCAGGTAGGCATAAAATACTGACTAACAGGAGCTTATGCACCTTGAGAAGGCTGGTTATCTCATCTCACTGTAAGACACTAGAGAATCTGTTTGGAGATGAGAGCAGCCACAGGCAATCCTATAAGTGTTTCCATGACACGTAAAGAGCTGCATGCCAAGAATTTTCATGGAAGAACTACAGCTCACAAGCCATTCATAACAAAAACAAATGAAAAACCATTGATTAGCATGGGGCAAGGCACACCAAACCTGGACCATGGAAGTTGGTTCTGTGGAGCAATGCATCATGCTACATGATCTTCCATGGACTTGTTTGGGTATGGGGGATGTCTGGAGAATGCTTATTACTAGAGTTTGTTGTCCAAATACTGAAGTTTGGAGGTGGTGGTATCATGGTATGGACTAGGTTCACTGGTCACAGTGCATGGATCTATGAATGCTGAGTCCTACCTTGATGTTTTGAACAATTGTGTGTGTCCTACATTATGGTACCGGCCAACATGATTACGCTTCATGTCACAAAGCAAGGATTTTTAGGACACATGCACCACCTACATCCAATCTCATAAAATGCCACCAATTTCTTCAACAATTTCTACAAGTGAATGGAATATCTAGAAAAAGTAAATTGACAGCAAGTTAGGGGGCAGACAAGCTGAAAAGGATTATGTAAGCTGATAAGTGAAACACACTGGCCAAGTGCATTATCAACATAGCATTCCAAAACTGTTTTACCATATCTGATTAAGTGTCTGGTTATATTGCAGCATTCAAAGTCACATGATGCTGCAACAAAAACTGAGACTAGAGGGATGCTGAAAGGCTTTTTAATGTATGAAACAATTTTGACCACTTGAACATTCATGTCCATCTTCCATCATATCACATCTGTATCAGAATAGTTTCAAACTAGTGAATTTGATTTACTTCAGGCTTAGAGGTAAATACAGAAGTGTACAGTTCAACTGAGAGCACTGAGGAATGACATACAAGCAATGTAGCTAGAGCAGATGAATTTGTCAGACAAATGAACGAAATTGTACGCAACATTGATTGGCCAGATCTGTTAGATGTTGAGGAATGCGATGAAATCGAGGTGTCAGCTGAATTGCCTATCTAAAAGAAGAGAAAGCAAAAAAGCTAAGAATGGAGAGAATGGAAGATTTCTGATATTATACCAAGACTGAATATTATACAAAACACTAAAATATCTTGTATTATTAATCTAGATATGTATATCTTAATAAATGTATGGATGCTTTAGTAGGTTATGTTTTTTTAAACATTATTATGGAACTATTACCTGCATTAGATGAAAGAAAATATTGTGTTCTAAATTCCAGACAATTAGTTTATATTTATGTAATATAATATTGGAAATTACATATTTAATATTACACTGTTTGTTAACTAGATGGTTTGTTTGAAGTTAAGCACAAAGCTACACAATGGGCTATCTGTGCTCTGCCCACCCGGTTTCTAGGTTGTAAGTCTGCAGACATACTGATGTGCCACTGGGGGACTAACTAGATGGAGACAAGCCTAGAACACCTAGAAAATATTTTAGAATTTGACATAATTTTTTCTAACACATTCGAGGGTTGAAGCATCAAAAAGATGGAAGATAGTAGAGTGAATCAGTCAGACAGCATTTTCATTTCAGCCAAAAAGTACAAGTAAGTTTATTTTCACTTTAGTGCAATTTGTGTCATTTGTAAATTTAAGCGTACAATCAATTACAAGTGAAGACAAGCTTGTAGAAATGCCAAGAAAGGGAAAAAATAAACTAATTTGTTATTGTTTATGTGGGGGGGGGGGGGACGTTTTTATATTATGTGGTGAAAATAATGCAAATAATCCACCAATGAAAGATCAACATTATATCAAGTGGGATTATTTTGGTGAAAATATAGTACTTTGAACATATTTGAGTTAAACTTGCGACCACGAAGTCAAGGACTTGCAATGAAGCGTTATTTGACATGAAGAAATTAATAAAGATGAGATATAGAGGAAGGAGGTGAAAAATTAAAAGAATGCCTAAAAGAAAACCAGGAAGATCGAGAAGAAAGAAACAGAAAATTAGAAGAGATGAAAAAAAAAAGACCAGAAAGAATGTGACAGTAATTTAGGAGGAGTTAAAAGAAAGAGACATACTATTCAATGAATTAAAATAGAAAATTAATCTGACTGAAAAAAAACATTACAAGAAGTTTCAAGAAATGCAGAAGGGCATCAAAGAAGTACACAGAGGCTAAGTACAAAATTGGAAAAGTACAGAAAGGTTGTAATGATAAATTGAAGTACAGCAAAGCTATAATGAAGTCTTCATGAAGTCAAAAGTGAAACAAAGAAAGACAAAGAGGTAGAGAAGAGCATTACTGAAATGAATAAAAATGTCAGTGACAGAATAAAATATCTGGTGAGTTATTAAGTTCAAAGATTAAACCAGCCACATCTACTTCTGCATCAATTCAAGATTTCCAACTGAAAATACCATCTATCACCAAATATTATACAGGAGAACTTATTTGGTCTACACACTACTTTCTCTGTGCCATATGTTACCTTCCAGAACTACTCCAGCCATGTCACTACCAGATCCAGTTTCAGAATTTACCTGGCCAGTTGAACATCAGCCAATTGAGAATCTAATAGATTATGATGGAAAAGTAATATGGGATTTATACCAGGCTCAGAAATCATTTCCAGAGTGGTTTGTTTTGCATTTTGCACAAAGCTACATGAGAGCTATCTGCACTAGTCATCCTTAATTTAGCAGTGACAGACTATAGGGAAGGCAGCTAGGCAACACAACCCACTGCCGAGTCTTGGGATACTCTTTACCAATGAATAGTGGGATTATAATGCCCCATGGCTGAAAGGGCAAGCACATTTGGTGTGACAGGAATTCGAATCTGCAACTTAGAGGAAGCTCTGCAGTTGGCAATGGAAGTTGAATTCATCAAAATTGTAGACTGGAAGTTGAGCACCCTAACCACCAGGCCATACCAAGCCTTTCAGAATGAATGGGTGGAATAGTGAACAAAAGCTACCCATCTTGCTGCCCATTTAAAAGGAGCAGCTTTGACAATATTAAGTAACATTCCAGCCGAGAGCCATAACTATCAAGGATTAGTAGCTGCCTTTTCCAACAAGAAAGAAATATCTAGAGCAAAATTATGGAATAGGGTAATGAGGAAAGAAGAGACCTTAACCAAACTTACATAACATTTGGAAAGGCTTGCACAATTATCTCACCTGGATGTTCTTTATAAAGTGATGAATTCATTGGCATCTGACCAAATTATAGACATCATAACAAATGATAAAATAATTAGGCTGAAACAAAGCTATTACAGCCAAAACTGTAAGAAATTGATGGTTGTTATTAAGCTAGAGTGAGAGAGATTCCAACAAGATGAAAAGAACAATGGAGCTAACAGAACATTAAAAAATGGACATTAGTTGAAATTATGGGGTGAAATTTAGCTTGGAATATTCAATATATTTAAAATGAGAAAAGAAGGTGAATGCTTGATAAAATCGACCATGAGCCTATAGGTTTATTGAGGGAAAACCTTTCAGTATACTGACTGACACAGATTCTACAGTTATAATTCTTTAAGCTGATATTTTAATGAAAGATGGGAAATTGCCTCCAGAGATTAAGAAACCAAACGGGTTGATGCAAACAGGAGATGGATATAAAGTTATAGCTAAATGGAAGTTACCCTTACTGTAGGAAGTTTCTCCACACTCCATGATGTGTAGGTAACTGATATCAAGAAAGAGTGCATATTGGGAACTGATTTCATTGGAGAAATGGATGTAAGGTTAGGCTAGTTTTAGATAATTTTACAGTCTACTACCAGGAAATCCCTAGGTACTGCATGACAATTATTACAACATAA